TTGTGGGAATTTCTTTTTTTTTTTGGAGAGATTTTTCACTGCAGGGCGCATGCGCTCGCCAGACAGACAGAGAGAGACATAGAGACAGAAAGCGAAAAATCACCCCCCAGGGGGGATGGTCACGCCGCAATCCCTTCTCCTCCATTCTCCTCCCGGGATCTTGGGCACGCACGCACACGCGCCCGGCGTGAGTTTTAAGCCACCGGGTCCGGGACACGAACCGCGGTCGACTACGTGGGAGTCCAGCGACATAGCCATTACGCTAACTGCTGGTTCCCGTGGGAATTTCTTTACATTTTCGGGCTTGATTGAACTGAGACCTTAAGAGGACAAGAGCTACTTACTTATCATTTTGTCCTCAGTGTCACAGTGCCTCTTTCACTGTTAATACCCAATGAATATTTAATGAATGGATGGATGAATTGTTTGATTAAGGCTATCATAGTACCATTCTCTGATTTTTTTTTAATGGAAAAAATATCTGGAAAGTATTTTTTTTGAGAGAGAGATTTTTGCTATAGGGTGCATGCATTAGACAGGGAGACAGAGAGAGAGCGAGAGAGAGACAGATAGTGAGAAATCACCTCCCATGGGGGGTGACCGCGCCTCAGTCCCTTCTCCTCCATTCTCCTCTTGGGATTTTGGGCACTCATGCACATGCACCTGGTGTGTTTCAAGCTGCTGGGTCCAGGACTCAAACTGCAGTCATCCACATGGGAGTCAAGCGACGTAACCATTATGCCATCTGCTGGCCCTCTAGAAAGTATTTTTAAGTCATTTTCTTTATTATGAATTTAGAGAGGAAAAGAATTTGTTAAGGATAAAGATGACTTTTCTGTGACCTTAACCCAGTATTCTCATTGATTTACAACTTTGAGATGATTAAGTTTTGCCTAATTATTTTTTTTTTACCATAGAGCAAATGCCACCACATCCTTTGTCTAATTTTTAATTGGTGTAGGCTCCCAAAATGTTGCCTGTATAGACTTGTCTCTTTTTAAAGCAGTTATTCATCTATAATTTTGCATTATCATTTAGTTAATACATTTACTATTCAATGGAAGGAAGCTTCTAAGCACTCTGCTAAACACTGTAAATTTATCATCTCATTTATCCTTCCAACAATGTTTTAAGTAGACCTAGGAACAATAAACAATTCCTTAAGATCTGTCAACCTAGGGACAAGCAGTAAGTGTAACGGCTGTCACTGGACTCCCACGTGGTTCGCGTCCCGGACCCGGTGGCTTAAAACTCACGCCAGGCGCGTGTGCGTGTGTGCCCAAGATCCTGAGAGGAGAATGGAGGAGAAGGGATTGCGGCGTGGCCATCCCCCCTGGGGGATGATTTCTCACTTTCTGTCTGTCTCTCTCTGTCTGTCTGACGAGCGCACGCGCCCTATAGCGAAAATCTCTCCAAAAAAAAAAAAAGATCTGTCAACCTGAAAAGAAGACCAAGGCATAATACAATAAGAGAAATAAAATTGCTTTATCTGAGCCAGGACTTAGGACAGATCACTCAGATGAACAGACTGTTTCCCCAGAGATGTGCTCATTAAAATAATGGCCAAGAAAAGGACAAACAAGTGACATAGAGGTTATGTCTCTGGACTCTCACATGGCTCACCATGGTTTGAGACCCAAACCTGGTGGCTTAAAAATCACACTGGGCACATATGTGTGCATGCCCACGATCTCAGGAGGACAATGGAAAAGAGATTGTATCGTGGCTGTCCCCACTGGGGGGTGATCTCTCACTTTCCCTCTCACTGTCTCTGTCTGTCTCTCTCTTTCTGGTGAACACACACATCCTAAGGCGAAAATATATCAATAAATAAATAAATAAATAAAGGCCAAGAAAGCTGGTTTATGTAACAAAGAGAAAGGAAAAAAGAAAGAAGTTACAAGTTATTTGTCAAGAACTTATTCATACATTGGTCTAGTTAATTCGGGCAGGGCCAGCAAGTGGTGCTGAATTCCCACCTGGTCCACCACAATTTGAGTCTCAGATGCAACCTGAAAATCATACCAGGCATGTGTACCAGCATGCTCAGAATCCCAAGAGGAGAAGAAAGGATTGTGGCATGGCCATCCCCTCCAGGTGGTGATTTCTCACTTTCCTTCTCTCCGAATCTCTCTCTCTCTCTCTTTTCTGGCAAATACATGCTCCCTATGACAAAAACCTAAAAAATAATAAAAATAGTCATAAAAATTTGGAGCAACTGATTGGCTATATTTTATTCTTTACATCATGAATTTAAGAATACTGGGAAGGGGGCCAGCAGGTGGTATGGTGGTTGATATGCTGAACTCCCATGTGGCTGACCACAGTTCAAGTCCTGGATCTGATGGCTTGGTTTCTCACTTTCCTTTTCTCTCTCTGTTTCTCTCTAGTCAAATTTTAAAAATAGCATTGGCGATGAATAAAATTTAATAATCTTTAAAAAATATAAAGAATTATGGGAATAATAAAGGGCAAGATTCTATTTTAAAATCTATAATCCTTGGGGCCAGCAAATGGTGTAATGGTTATGTCATTGGACCCCCACATAGTCAACTATGGTTCGCGTCCCAGACCCAGCAGCTTAAAACTCATGCCGGGTACGTGTGTGTGTGTGTGTGTGTGTGTGTGTGTGTGTGTGCCCAAAATTCTGAGAGGAGATTGGAAGAGAAGAGATTACAGCATGGCCATCACCTGGGGGGTGATTTCTTGCTTTCTGTCTCTCTGGGGAATGCATGCACTATGAAAATCTCTCTAAAAATAAAAAAAACTATAGTCCTTTGTAGCATAAGAGTTTTTTTAAAAAAAATATTAAAATCTTTGTGTCTTTTTTTTTTTTTTTTTTGAGAAATATTTTGCTAAAATGTGCCTGTCATGAGTTTTTTTTTTTTTTTGGAGAGGTTTTTTCGCTATAGGGCACGTGCGCTCGCCAGACAGACAGAGAGAAACATAGGGACAGAAAGCAAGAAATCACCCTCCAGGGGGGATGGTCACGCCGCAATCCCTTCTCCTCCATTCTCCTCTCAGGATCTTGGGCACACACGCACACGCGCCCAGCGTGAGTTCTAAGCCACCAGGTCCAGGACACAAACCGCGGTCGACTACGTGGGAGTCCAGCGACATAGCCATTACGCTAACTGCTGGTTCCCGCCTGTCATGAGTTTTAAGCCAGCAGATCTGAGACTCAAACCACAACAGACTACATGGGAATCCAGTGACATAACTATTACACATCTGCTGGTCCCAAAATCTTTATTTCTTTGCCATAAAGGTCAGGATGCAGGTAGGACTCAAGAGTTAAATTTTTTTTAACAGTTTTGACAGTCAAATCTAAGCCATTGCCATGCACACCATTTTCAACAGTAAATTTTGTATACTAGAATCTGTTAAGTGTTTTTTCCCTTTGCCCCTCACACCTATCCTCTACTATCAACTCATTTCCCTTATAGACTCTGGTATTTGCACTTATTCTTCCTAATACTTATTTTCAGATCTTTCAATTTCTGCCATAGAGTGCAGACATGCAGTGGTCTACTTTACTTAGCAGTCAGTCTTCCATATTCAACCACACTTTGCCAGATGACAGACAGTCCTTGTTCTTTATGGCTGAATAATATTCTATAGTGGATATGTGCCACAATTTTTCAACCCAGTCATCAGTTTCTGGGCACTTAGGTTGATTCTATGTCTTTGTAGCTAAGAATAATAAGCATCAAAGTTTGTTTACTCTGAACTAAAACATGTCTTTTGAGCAATAACCCTGATAAAGGTAGGACTTAACCTAAGGCTCATATTTTACTCAGGACCACCTTATATCCACCGACTTTGAATTTAATTGGATTCATATTCCATATACAGCTCTAAACTGCTTTTTCTTACTTTTGCAAGTCAGAGTTATAAATGACACAGTCATATTGAAATCCAAATCTTTTTTTTTTTTAAGAATTATTTATTTATTTATTTCACATGAGTTTTGCCAGAGAAAGACAGAGAGAGTGAGAGAGGGAGAATTTGAAAGCAAGTCTCCAGGTCCAGGACTCGAACCACAGTAACTGATGTGGGAATTTTAGTGCCTTAACCACCACGCCACCCACTGGCCCCTTGAAATCCAAATCTTTCTGCCTCTAAACCACAATCTTAGCCATAATATTCTCTTACCTCTTAGAAAACAGTACAATATCTATGCCATGTTTGGAGTTAGGTATAATACCATTTCATAATTTTGTCCATACTAGTAAGTAAACTTTACAAATAACTGTTGTTTACTTTAATTGCATTTCTTCGTCACTAGAGGCATCTCCTTTTTAGCTAATTCATTTTTATCAACCTAGTGATCTCGTCAATGAGTTATCGTTGAAGAGTGCAGGATTTTTTTTCTCTTATGCACAATGACTTCAATTTCCGTGCTTTTCATATATTTTTAATGTATTTTTTTAGCTGTTCTTTACAAAGACATTTTATGATACCTCCCTAGGTAGTAGCACTGTACTTTTACCTTTTAATTTGCTGTTTTGATGTATGACTACTCAGGAAATCAAAATGTTACTAAAACCATGGAAAGGGTAGATTAGACCTCTGATGGAAAACTATAAAGGACTCTATTTGGTCTGTAAGTATATAATTTTTATACTACCTTATTAGCCTTTCTCAAATACCTGTAATTGCCAGATAAATGACCTCCAGGTAACTATAACATTACATTTTTTTAATTTCAAGAAATAAATGCTAGTCTTCTATAATTTTTCCTAACTTTCACATTCAATTTTTATTTAGCTTATATAATAATAACACTTTATCATTTTTAGTTAAAACCAACTGAATGTTTACCTTACAAGTAAATATATTTTACTTCCTTGTTAGTCATATCAATTGAGTATCTGTCTCTTAATATTTAAATACTTAAAAGTAGAAAAGACCTCAATTTTCTTTGTTTTTGGGTTTTTTTTGTCTCAATTGTCAACCTCTTTAATTCTGCCTCTGTAATATTTTCCTTCCATTCTTAGGTTTTAACTAAAGAATTTTATAATCTCCAAGCCTCTTCTGAAAAACGCATTACTGAACTTCAAGCACAGAACTCTGAGCATCAAGCAAGGCTAGACATTTATGAGAAATTGGAAAAAGAGCTTGACGAAATAATAATGCAAACTGCAGAAAGTGAGTTCCCATCTCCTCTACCCGCCCCCCTCATACATAGTTTGTGTGTGCAGTAACACGAGAAACCTGGTGTGGTGTCTAAAATCACTTGGATATATTTTCTTTAAATATAATTGGTGACCCTTTTTAAAGAGTATTATACATTTTAAATATAGTTTATCTTACTTCTAACATTTGTAATAAAAAAAAAAAAAATAGGGGTCATCAGGTGGCTTTGTGATTAGGGCACTGGACTCCCACATGACCTACTGCAATTCGAGTCCTGGACCCAGCAGCTTGAAAATCATGCTAGGTGTTTGTGAATGTGTATGAGTGTGGCCATCCCCTGGGGGGTGATTTCCTTTTTCCCGCTCACTTTCTCCGTCTCTTTCCTCTCTGGCAACTACATGCACCCCTATGACAAACCTTTCAAAAAAAGAAAATAGCTAAATATGATAGACTTTCTCTTTTAACTTAATTCACTCATTTAAGAATAATTCTTGCCTTGTAAGAGTTTCTGGTGTAGTATAGTGGGAAAGGTGAATATATTAAAAATAATTAAAGTTGAATTTTATATATAAATATATAAATAAATTAATTAAATTAAGCCAGAAATGGACAGTTTTCAGTGGAAAGTACAGAGGAGATCATGAATTAATTTCACCTAGAGGTGAATAAAAATAAGATTTTTAGAATTTGAGTAGGAATTTTTTGGATGTGCTATGCTATAGTATTTGACTTTTAATTTCTATTTCCTTTTTTCTTTTTTCTTCCTCTTAACAAGCTGTCTTCCCGTCTAGGCCCTAACCTTAAGCAGTATTTTAAACCAGCATTATGTTATTGACTGTGATGTTTGCTACAGTATATTGTTCGTGCTCGAAAGTCGGAAATAATAATACTGGCCAGCTCTGGTGACACAGTGGTAACACAACACTCTATGATGCTGAGGCCATATGGGCAAGTCCTGGGCTTGTGTCCCAAGGTCTTCGTGTACATGCCAAGTATATGTGCTTGCCTGTGGTTGGGGATGGTTATCTCTGCCTTTCATTCTTTCTCCTTCTCTCATGGGAGATATAAATAACTTAACAGCAAAAAAATAACAGCGGCATTCTTAAAAAAGTCGGTTTAAATTTCAACTGAGGTTTAATTTGAATCTAGATAAAGTTTTAATCATTTTTGACCACATTATCATGTGAGGATTATATCATATTTATTGGCCAATTTAAGAAAAAAATTTGAGCTGGCCCTATGTTCTAGTGATTAAGAGAGTCAGATCTCACACCGCTGACCATGGTTCAAATCTCACCCCCAGTGGATTGAAAAAGCATGCCAGGCAAATGTGCGTTTGTACATGCTCCAGTTGCCAAAGGGACAGAAAAATGGAAATGGGACTGTGGCATGCTCACTCCCCACTGGGGAGTGCTTTTTCCCTCTCTCTGTCTCTGAATACATGCACCTCTGGCAATTAAAAAAAAATAAAGAGAGATCAGCAGATGGCATAATGGTTATATCACTAGACTCCCATGTAGTTGACTGTGGTTCAAGTCCCAAACCTGGTGACATAAAATACACACCAGATGCATATGTGCATGCCCAAGACCCCAAGAGGAAAATAAGAAGGGATTGTTGCTGGCCATCCCCCCTTGGGGGTGATTTCACACTTTCTGTCCCCCTCTCTCTCTCTAGCAAGTGCACACACCCTACAGTAAAAACCTCTAAAAAAAAATTAATTTAAAAATAAAGAAATGTTATTTCATTGCTGTCATTGTCATATTTTATACTTCCAAGGTCAGTGACTAGTAATTGCAACAAATTCCAAATTTATCTTATTTCTTTTTTTGAGAGAGAGATGTTTGCTATAGGACATCTGTGCTCACTGGAGAGACAGACAGAAAGCAAGAAACCACCCTGGCGCCCTCAGAGGAGATGGCCACACCGCAATTCCTTCTCCTTCATTCTCCTCTCAGGATCTTGGGCACATAGACCCACACACACACACACACACACACACACACACACACACACATATGCTCCATGCTCACTACTGGCATGACTTTAAAGCCACCAGGTCCAAGACTCAAACCTCGGTCGACGGTGTGGGAGTCCAACAACATAACCATTATGCCATCTTCTGGTCCCCCGAATTTATCTTGTTTCTAAACCAGTGTCAAAATAATCCTTGTAAAATACAGATTTGATCATATTATATACCATGCCCATGGCATGTTGCTTAAAGCAGCTGGATCTTCATGGCATAATGCATGATTCAAGTCTAGAATCTAGAGGCTTGAGAAACATGCTTGGTGCATGTTCATGCTACTGAGAAATCCGAAAGGAAAGAGAGATGAAGGAGAAGGGATTGCAGCATAACCTTTCCCCAAGAGATGGGGGAGCTTTCTCATTATTCCTCTTTCTCTCTCTCTCTCTCTCTCTCTCTCTCTCTCTGTCTTCCTGTCTGCCTGTCTCTAGTGTGCACACATACCCTCTGGCGAATTGTTTCTAAAAATGGCAGTATGAACTCAAACTCCTTAGCATGACTTTTTATGATAAATCCTTTATTTATGTTTATGTCTTGTCATTCCCCTTTACATGATATTGTTATTTTGAAAGTGCTGTACTCTCTTTTATCTTAATAACTTCTCATATATCCCTTAGTCTAAACAAATTGGAAATACGTGGGAGCCAGTAAGTGGCATGGTGGTTAAGGCACTGGACTCCCATATGACCTAACACAGTTTGAGTCCTGGACCTTGCAGCTTGCTTTCTTACAATCCCTCTCTCTCTATCTCTCACTAATCAAACTGAGGAATAATAAATTAGGAAAAAAGAAAAAAGAAGAAGAAGGGAACTTCCTCAATCTGATAAAAAGCATTTAACCAAAAACTTACAGGTAATATGATACTTAATGCTGAAATCATTGAATGCTTTTCCCATTATGAAAGAAAAAAAGGTAAGGATTTTTTTTTTTTTTTGGTGACTTATGTTAAACACATTATTTGAGTTTCTAACCAGTGAACTAAGACAAAAAAAAAAAGAAAAAAAAAGAGAGAGAAATAAAGATATAAGGATAAGAAAGAAAGAGTAAGACTACTTTCAGATTACCGGACAATTACTAAATCTTATAAGTATATTACAGGATACAAGATTCATTCATAAAAATAGCAAACAAACTATACTAGTAACAAACAACTGGGACAGTAAGTATAAACAGCAGTTTTGTTTACAACTGTCAAATTACACAAAATACTCAGAGTAAATTTATCCAAGTATTACTACTAAAAACACAAAAAGAATTGCTAAGTGAAATTTGAAAATCCTCTCAAATCAAGAAATATGTCATAAATTCTATAAATTCAGTGTTATCCCGGTCATAATGCCAGAAGGGATTATATCTATTTCATATATATAAAATGTAAATTCCTGGAATAGCCAAACCAATCTTGAAAAAAAGGACAAAGTTGGCAGACTTAACACTGCCCAACTTCAAGACTTACTATAAAGCTACTGTGTCTAGCTAGTATAGTACTGGCATAAGTAAAGACAAATACAATAAAGAAATAGACTAGAAAATCCAAAACCAGATCTATTTTTAAACAATTGTTTTATTTTTAATAAAGGCAATGAAACAGTCAACACAACATTTATTCAATGAATGGAGATTTTTTAAAAATGGGCATCTTTATGGAAATTAGCCTCTGTACATACACAAATATTTTAAATGAGACCTAACTGTAATAGCTAAAACCATAAACCTGTCTAGCAGAAAACATACGTATCCTTGCAGTTTGGAGTAGGTTAAGATCATTTAGATAGAACCCTGAAAGTACTATTGGTTCCTCACAAAAATCATGACACATTTTTGGATAAAAAAACATAGTCATGACTTTTTTGACAACTCAATACAAAGAAAAATTTAAGAAAGCAAATGTTATCAAAATAAAAACTTCTGCTTTTCAAAAGAGACTATTACGAAATGAATAGCTGGGGCCACCCGATGACATAGTAATTACGTCGCTGGACTCCTACATGGTTGACTCTGCGGTTCAAGTCCCAGACCCAGTGGCTTGAAACTCACACAGTGTGCATGTGCGTGCATGCCCCAAATCCTGAGAGAAGAATGGAGAAGGGATTGTGGTGTTGCCATCCCTCCTAAGGGGTGATTTCTTGCTGTCACTCTGTCTCTCTGGTGTGTACACATGCCCTAAAGCAAAAATTTCTCTTAAGAAAAAAAATAATGTCAGAAAAATACACAAAAGGATATAATAATAAAACATAGATTAGACAAGGAATTAATATCCAAGCATGGTAGGCTTAAAAATGCCTTCCTTCCATTTCATAATCCCTGGAACCTATGGACATTTTTTTCTTAGATGGTAACGGAGACTTTCCAAGTGTGATTAAGTTAAGGATCTTAAGGTGAAATTATCCTAGATTATCTGGATGAATGCAGTGTACAATCACAAAAGGCTTCATAAGAGAAAAGTTGATATGATAAGAGCAGAAGTCAGGCTTTGAAGATACTACATTGCTGGCTTTGAAGGTAAAAGAAGGAGCCAAGCTAAGGCCTGGCTTCCAACTGGAAGCAGCCTTGCCAACACTTTAGCCCAACAAGACTGATTTTTGACTTCTAGCCTCTAAAACTCTAAGATAATAAATTTGTATTGTTGTAAGTCACAAAGTCTGATAATTTGTTACAGCAATAATAGGCAATTAATACGCAATCGAATATATAAAGAACTCATACAACTCAATGATAAACGGAAGTTCAATTAAACATGGGTAAGGGTTTAAACAAACATTTTACAACAAGAGATGTGGGAACATGATAAAAGTATTCAGCATAATTAGTCATGAGGAAAAAGGAGATTAAAAGCCCAATGAGATACTACCACACACCCACGAGAATGGCTAAAATTAGAAAAACTGACTATATCAAATGTTAGTGAGAATGTGGAACAACTGGCAGTTTCTTATGAAATAACCAAGCAGCCTATCCAGCAATTCCATTCCTAATTTATTTATCCAAAAGGGAGCTTGAAACTCACACAGTGTGCATGTGCGTGCATGCCCCAAATCCTGAGAGAAGAATGGAGAAGGGATTGTGGTGTTGCCATCCCTCCTAAGGGGTGATTTCTTGCTGTCACTCTGTCTCTCTGGTGTGTACACATGCCCTAAAGCAAAAATTTCTCTTAAGAAAAAAAATAATGTCAGAAAAATACACAAAAGGATATAATAATAAAACATAGATTAGACAAGGAATTAATATCCAAGCATGGTAGGCTTAAAAATGCCTTCCTTCCATTTCATAATCCCTGGAACCTATGGACATTTTTTTCTTAGATGGTAACGGAGACTTTCCAAGTGTGATTAAGTTAAGGATCTTAAGGTGAAATTATCCTAGATTATCTGGATGAATGCAGTGTACAATCACAAAAGGCTTCATAAGAGAAAAGTTGATATGATAAGAGCAGAAGTCAGGCTTTGAAGATACTACATTGCTGGCTTTGAAGGTAAAAGAAGGAGCCAAGCTAAGGCCTGGCTTCCAACTGGAAGCAGCCTTGCCAACACTTTAGCCCAACAAGACTGATTTTTGACTTCTAGCCTCTAAAACTCTAAGATAATAAATTTGTATTGTTGTAAGTCACAAAGTCTGATAATTTGTTACAGCAATAATAGGCAATTAATACGCAATCGAATATATAAAGAACTCATACAACTCAATGATAAACGGAAGTTCAATTAAACATGGGTAAGGGTTTAAACAAACATTTTACAACAAGAGATGTGGGAACATGATAAAAGTATTCAGCATAATTAGTCATGAGGAAAAAGGAGATTAAAAGCCCAATGAGATACTACCACACACCCACGAGAATGGCTAAAATTAGAAAAACTGACTATATCAAATGTTAGTGAGAATGTGGAACAACTGGCAGTTTCTTATGAAATAACCAAGCAGCCTATCCAGCAATTCCATTCCTAATTTATTTATCCAAAAGGGAAAAAACATGCACATAAAGAGATTTCTGTTAAAATGTTCATAGGAGCTTTATTCCATAATAGTAATATGCAATACTATATGCATAATTTCATTGTTGCAAGTTTCCTAATAAAATATTATGGTTCCAGACTTGGCAGCTTGGAAAACACACTCAGTGTGTGTACTCAAAATCCCACAAGGAGAATGAAGGAGAAGGGATTGCAGCAGGGTGATTTCCCACTACCCCCACCCCGCCATTCCCCTCATCTCCAGCAAATGCACGCACCTTAGAGCATACTAACTAAATAGATTAATGAATAAAAATAAAACTACTACTCCTTAATAAAAAGTGGCACCTGATCAATTCAGCAATACGGATGAATCTGTAAGACATACTTAGTCTAAGTAACCTTTTCAAAAATGTTTCCATGACATGATTAAATTTATATAAAGTTCTATAAAAGACAAAACTAATTTGAGATTTAAAAAAAAAAAATCAGTACTTAATAGCTAACAGTGATTGTCACCAAAAAATTAACTGAGCAAAGAAACATGAGGGAAATGTCCAGGGAACTGTATGGATGTTCCATATATCTTTTTTTTTTTTTTTTAATTGCCAGAGAGCACATATATTGTACACTGGGGAGGGGAGAGATAGGAAGGGAAGAAAGCATTCCCGAATTGGGCATAGTCCAATCCTTTCTACATTTCTCTGTCCTGTCATAATTTTGAGCGCGCACACACACACACACACACACACACACACACATGCACTTCGCATATTTTTCAAACTGCTGGAGCCAGGATTCAAACCAAGTTTGGCCAGGTGTGATCTGGCTTCCTTACTAGGCTAGGTAACTGGCCCTGTTCTATATCTGGACAAGGTTTGTGTTGTATATATGTATATACATTTCAAAATTTGGACATATTTCAAACTCACTGAATGGTAAACGTAATACTTGTACCTTTCACCATATGTAAATTTTATTTTAAAAAAACTATAGATTAATAATTGATTTACATGTTGAACTTTTAAAAAAATGTTGTTATAGGGCATGTGCATTCATGGAGAGAGACAGAGAGTGAGAGGAAAAGTGAGAACCCACCCTCCCCAGGAGGGGCTATACTGCAATCCTTTCTCCATTCTCCTCTTGGGATTTTGGGCACACACACACACACGTGCCCAGCGTGTTTTTTAAGCCACTGGGTCTGGGACTTGAACCATGCCGTCTACCTTAACCACCATGTCACTGGCTGGCCCCTAGATGTTGAACTGTCGAGAGATAAAGTGTGCAGATGTTTGCCACTTACTTTGAAATGCATAAAGAAAGTAACGTAGATTCATGGGTGGATTCATGGGTGGGTAGATGTGTAGCAAACAAATCTTAACAAACATGTTTAACTTAGAATCCATATGTGGGTATATGAATATACACTGTACAGGTCTTTCAGCATTTCCTATGTGTAAATATTTTCTTAAAGGCTTTAAAAATATATATATATACAAAGTAAATTTTTGCTATGATATTTTATAAACCATCTTAAAAACTGTCTTAGAGTAAGATATATTTACCTGTACTGGAAAATTAGTAACTACTTCTTTTCTATTACTTTGCATTGGAAATTAGAAATCCTATCTTTAAGCCACTTGGTGGTATGGTGATTAGGGTGGCTGGATCCCCCATCACCATTGCCAGTTCGAATTCTAGACCATACACCTTGAAAAACATGCCAGGCATGTGTGTGTACATGCACAAAATCCCAGAAGGAGAAATGTAGAAGTTACTGCAGCATGGCCTTTCTCCGTGGGGGCTGGAGGAGGGTACCTTCTTACTTTCCCTTTCTTTCTCTCTCTGCTCTCTCTGGTGAGCACATAAGCCCTCTTGCAAATTTTATACACACACACGCACACACACACACACACACACACACTTATATATATATACACATATATCCTATTCTTATTGATTAATCCAAATTTCAAGCACATAGCATATTATTTTTTAGTACTAAAATATGTACAATTTTCAAAGGGTTGCCATCTAATTCAGCTAATTTCAGCTAACCTGAAACTGGTAAGCTTCATTTATTAAGATGTAACCATAGAAAATTTCTGTATTCTATTTACTCTTAAGTTACTTTCTGTAATCACTAAGGGTAATACGTGTATATTTAAGATGTTCACTTTTTTAAAAATAATTATTTATTTAAGGACCAGCATATGGCATAGTGGCTGCATTGCTGGACTCCCATGTAGTCAGCCGTGGTTCGAGTCCCGGACCTGGTGGCTAAGCCCTAAGATAAAACCTCTCAAAAAAAAAAAATGTAAGGCCATCAATACATGATTAGGACTGCATATTTTATTGACAGTAAACTACTTGTATGCATAATTTCATTGAATATGCAATACTATATGCATAATTTCATTGTTGCAAGTTTCCTAATAAAATATTATCTTTCCTGGGACCGCCGTTAGCGTAATGGCTATGTCGCTGAACTCCCATGTAGTTGACTGCGATTCAAGTCCCAGATCCACTGGCTTAAACTCACACCGGTTGCAAGTGCGTGCATGTCCAAGATCCTGAGAGGAGAATGGAGGAGAATGGATTGCAGCATGGCCATCCTCTCTGGGCTGTGATTTCTCGCTTCTGTCTCTCTGTCTCTCTTCGTCTCTCTAGCGATTGCACGTGCCCTGTAGCAAAAACCTAAAAAAAATTATCTTTTCTAATTAAAAATATTCAATTATTTTATTGAGAATAGAATGAATGAAATTCATGTTATTTGTCATAGTACATATATATATTGTATGCAGTTACTCTTTGAATCCTTCAAAATAACACAGAATCTGTATTATTATGCCTTATGAAAATCTAACATATCACATTATGCAACGTTCTGTTATACCTTTTTAAAAATAAATGAAACAAATCTAACCAAGCAAGGATACACTTTAAGAAGTATGGTTCTAATTACAAATGGGCTGTTTGAATTTATACATTAGCCCTTTTTAATGTTCTTATGCTCACTAATGTAGTATTACAACCTCTTTAATTTTCACTTCTTTCATGCTTTTTAGGGAAAAATGTCATTTCACATATATTTTAATATTTTCCAGTTGAAAATGAAGAGGAGGCTGAAAGGGTTCTTTTTTCCTACGGCTATGGTGCTAATGTTCCCACGACAGCCAAAAGACGACTAAAGCAAAGGTAAAATCAATATGTCTTTATTGTATTTATCTACTCAAGCTAAATGTAATTACACATGCTTTGTGATAATGTGCTCAGTTGAATGGCAAAGTAAAGTTTCTTTATTCGTAGTATGCATAAATATTAAAGTACTCATAAAATAAAGCACAAAAGTAATAATCCTATATTTCTTATGTATTTAAAGTGCGTAGAATGGCCTGTAGGATAGAGGTGTATATTAGAATTTTTATAAAATTAGATTCAATGATAAAGATGCCATTCTTATTTTATATTCCCGTTAACTTCAGATGAGTTAAAAATGCTTTGTATCAGGCCAGCCCTGTTGCATAGCAGTTAAATGTTGTGCAGAAGAAGCCAGATCTCCATAGCCGTCAAGGGTTTACGTCTCAGGTCCAGTCACTTGAAAAGCACCCCAGACACATGCATGTGCCCAGGATTCTGGTGGGACAGAGTATTGAAGAAAGGGGAATGTGGTGTGACCCTCATTGGAAAGCACTTTCTCTTTCTCACTCAGTCTCTATCATGCATGTGTACATGATGTCTGCCCCCACCCCCCAAAAAAAAAGCTTTGTATCAACAATTTGTAGGGTAGAATTAATTACATTTTGTTTTCCTCTTGTATTTCATTCACCTGTATACTCCTTGACGTATACTCCAAAGAGGGAAAGTGAGATGAGGTGGTATAGATGAGGGGGTCTTCAAAACTTGATGGGAAATGTAGATCATAAGAAAACTGTGCATGGATTTCAGGTTTTTTACACCAGTGGCTTTTTTTGTTGTTGGGTTGTTTTTTTTTTTTTTTTTTTTTTTAGTCTTTTCTCTTAGGCTTTAAACTATTAGAGGTTTTGGGAAGATCAATAAAATGTTTAGAAAATTTGCTTGTTACCTCATGAAATACTGCTTAAAAGTACATTAATAGGAAATTGTACCTATGATCAATTTTCTAGTTGACCTCCCTAATATTTTTTTCCTGACCTCTCTCTCACTTAAATTTGTCTTGCTTTGCAAAAAATATCTTACTGCCCCACTCACTACCACATCAAATCTGAATGTTTCTGCCAAACTTCGCATCCTCTCCATAATGTGTCCCACCTCTCTAGTCCTATTTACCTCTCTACCCAAACTCAGGGTAGGTGTATCTCACCTTTAAACATTATTTCCACTGTATCATAGAGTATGTCATTTCTCTTATTTCATTAGCTCTCATTTTCCATATCATTTTCCCACCTAGATGGAAAGTTCTTCAAGGGCAGCAACGATGTCTTATTTTTATTTGTTCTTCATGGTTTCTACCTAGCCCAGTGTAGGACACCTTGAAGATTTTTTTTTAATTATTTCAATTAAATTGTATTTGTTATTGTTACTTTTTAATTTGACCAGAAAGACAGAAAGGGAAAGTGAGAAGCAAGCCACCAGGTCCAGGATTCAAACCACAGTTGGCCATGTGGGAGTTCAGCACCTCAACCACCACACCACGTGCCAGCCCTTAGAATTGGTTTTTCATCCAAGTGTTTGAAAATTCAAAGCTGCTTGTTTTCACTTGAATGAATTTAGACATTTAGAGAAATTACCCACTAAATAAGAAACACAGTCCATTTTAACTCTGTTTTTGTAGGAACTTTGAAGTGATGAGTCAGTGAATAAAATGACTTTTTAGCTAATCTAAAATGACATAAGACACAGCCCACTTTATAGGAAGTAAGAAAGATGTTTAGAACTTGTATCTCTTACATGTTAAACTAAATATCTGCCCAATTTTGATCAAGGATATATGAATAGAAAATATAAATTTGTAGCTGGAATGCTTAATTCCCTCTGGCAAAAATTCAAGTCATTCTAAATTATGTATTATTTGAAAAGTTTGTTAGAATTCTATCTACTTCTCAGTTCCTTTGCTCTACATGACCTTGTAATTTTCAGCATATTTCTGATCTGGGGACTCAACGTTGTTTAAGTAGGAACGGAAATTGTTTAATGGACAATAGACCTTTTTAACAATGGTGAATAATAGCTAAAATATTAAACATTGAAGTGTATCAGGAAAAGTCTCTTCTCTCCTCTATTTTAGCATCTGATTCCTTCAAAAGAATCTTTGTTACAAGAAAAAAAAAGAATTTTGCTGTTGTAAGCTTTTCTTTCTTTAGCCCCCAATGCTGTTTTCTAAATTGAAAACAGTTATTGCTATTACACCTTTCTATTTTTTTTAAGAATTTCTGAAAACAAAAGTTGGCTTCTTAATATTTAGAGTGAAGATTTAGGGAACCACAACTGATTCATATTCCAAATAATCTTAACTGTCCAAATATTTCTAAAGATTCTATCACTGAGCTATCTATGTGCCTTGAACAAGTGCCTAATGGGCATGCTATTAATATCTCCTGCCAGATGGTGCCAGGCATTCTTCTCATGATGCGCCAGAGGGTTATTTTGAGGAAGTGTTTCTCAGGTCATCTAAACTAAGTGAAGGGAAAGTTAGTCCAGCTATCCAAAGAGGACATTTTTGCATTCCTTCACTCATTCATTCAACACTTAACAACTTTTATTGAGTTTCTACTATATGCAAAAAATTGGCTAGTGGCGTAGAGGATCCAAGTTTAGGGTCTGATGAATTTCTGAGGTTTACAAACTTCACATTTTGTCTTTCTTTCTTTTTTATTTTTTAAAGAGATTTTTGCTATAGGGCCAGTGCACTCTCCAGAGAGAGGCAGACAGAAAGAGAGAAATTACCCCCCCCCCCCAGAGGATGACCATGCCACAATCCCTTCTCCTCTATTTTCCTCTTGGGATTTTGGGAACTCACGCACACGCGCATGGTGTGAGTTTTAAGCCACCGGGTAGGGGACTCAACTGCCTGCGACTACATGGGAATCCAGCCACATAACCATTACACCATCTGCTGGTCCCCGCATTTTATTTCTTAACGGATATTTGTAAAGAAGGCGATACCTTTGTGTTCTCTTTAACCTTATGTAAGGGGAAAGCAATATAACCTATTGGATCATTAGGAAAATCTTGGCATGTTTTGGCATCAAAAAAACAGAAAAATGGATCATGACGTTTCTCAATGACCTAATATATTTCATTATTCACAGTTGAAATTAAAGTACTGGAAACTTAAAGTGAATTATAAAACGACTCAGAACCATAAATAATCGCTTAATAAAGTTTTCATTCTATATCATCTTATACCAAAATACATTAAAATTGCAGAAGAACTTATTTCCCAACTACTACACAATATATTCTGTTCATTTTGATCTGATTTTAAATTTGATTTAAAGTCTCATATATCCAGCAACTATTTATATCAGAATTAGATACTTTAGGATAACAATTGGAGGGAGGTTTCTTATTATAAAGATAGTATATATTTATTTTAAAGAATTTTTAAAATTACCAATAACCAATAATTTCAAAATATCCATTCAGAAATTTATACAAATAGGCCTGGACTCAGTGGTGCAGGGCTGCTGCATGATGCTGGAGACTGTGTTGGAAAGGTTCAGGTTCTTGTTTCTGATCTTCTTTAGCACACCAGGGAACCATGGGCATGCCTGTGATCCTACCTGACTGCAGGGGTTGGGGTAGATCTCAATGTAAAGACCTTGTTGAAGATATGCATCTCTCTCTTCTTCAGCTCTCTCACATAGGAAATTGAAATAGAAACTTTTTTTAAAAATGTAGTTCTTACATATTTAGGATATTATATGTAATTTAATAGGTTAATATTTTATCCCGGAATTCATTCTGAACATTTTCTTATGTTATTGAATATTCTTCAAAAAGATCTTTTTCTGAGAGAGATTTTTGCTATAGGGCTCATGCACTCCCCAGAGAGACAGAAAGTGAGACATAACCTCCCAAGGGGATGGCCATGCCACAATCCCTTCTCCTCCATTCTCCCTTCGGGATTTTGAGCATGTACACAACACGCACCTGGCGTGAATTTCAAGCCACCAAGTCCAGTAATTGAACTGTAGTTGGCCATGTGGGAGTCCAGTGCCTTAACCACTACGCTACCTGCTGGTCCCCAAAAAGATCATTTTTAATGGTTATCTAAAACTTTAATTTTTAGACCTTCTGTTTTTGAGTGTCATATTGTTATTTATAAATTAGATAGCCACTAGAAAATTTCACTGGTTTTATATTGCTACCAAGGAATATTATAAATTTTAAGTGAGAGTTGGCCTTGTGGCCTGGTAATTAAAGGATGTAGATGTCCCATGGCCAACCATACACTTCAAATCTTGGCCTCAGTAGATTGAAAAACATGTCAGGCACATGAATGTGCAAACCCAAAATCTCAGCCAAGTGGAGAAACGAAGGGGTTGCAGTGTGACCACATCCCATTGAAAAGTGCTTTCTCTCCCTCCCTTCTTCTGTGTGTCTCTATGTGTCTCTCTCTGACGCACATACACCCTCTGCCAGATTAGAAAAGAAAAAAATTAAAATGACAAAATGAGTCAGACAGCAACACAGTGGTGACATAGCACTCTATGAGACTGACCTCCATGGGAAGGTTCTGGGTTCATGTCAGAGACCTCTCTGAGTATATTGAGCACAGCTTGCCCGTGAATCAGGGCTGGCTGAGGCAGAGAGTAGATTATGGCACCAACCCTGATAGGGGTGTAGGCTTGTGTGCTTCTCTCTCTCTCTCTCTCTCTCTCTCTCTCTCTCTCCACCCTACCTCTCTTCCTTTCTCTCCTTTCTTTTCTCCTTCCCTCTCTCCCTGAAAAAATAAACTTTAAAAATGAGAAAGTTGATGTGAAGTTCACTACACTGCCTCACAATTGAAACATCTACAGAGTCGATGTTCGAGTAGATGTTCAAATAAGTGCTAGTTGGTTATACTAAAAAAATGGGTTCTTAAAGTAAGTTACATAATTTTAGAGGAAAAGCCAGGGTTCTAAAGTCTTCCACTGGCACGACTGGAGTTTTCTTTTAAAACAATTTTGTTTTTAAATTGTAATGAAACCTCTTTAAATAATTAGGAGAGACAC